GCTTTATAATAACTAGAAGGAAGTATAACGATATTTGGGTTCACCTAGGATTAAAAGCTGAAAACGGGTTTTCCTAGTAGAAAGTAATAATAAACAATAATAATATAAATATTGACTATATTTGATAGATGTGTTGATCAAATTAGGATCCACAGCGAGAATAATATTGAATAAGGCATAAGTATAAAACCAAGAACCATTATTGTGTCTCGTTTAAGAAGGGCAGCTATACCAGTAAACAGGAGAAAACTCATTCATTTTCTCCAAGGGCTAAAGTTTCTATGGTTCTGTGTAAATTCTAGTATCGTCGATTCTATAATCGTCCTTCATTCGGACCATTAGGCATATGAAGTACACTGTATAATGCTAACAAATTAATTAAAATATCAGAATTAATGAAAAATTAGAAATCTATGAGTTAAGTCTGGTAATCAAGCCTACATTAAATATCGCTTAAAAGTTGATACCATACGAGCCAACGCGAACGAAAACCCATCACCTAGGCACCTTTAAAATACTCAAAATCAAAAAAATAATTCTGTAAAGGAAATTCAATGAGATTGAAATAGAGTAAGTCCCTACCGGTTCAATGGTGGTCATGCACCTTTTGGATCAGTACATTGCATCATGACTTCAGCATTGTCACAGCACATCTAGTGCTTTCGGGGTGGAGGCTAATGGGAAAGCTGTGTGTTGCCTTTTTTCTTTTTTAATAGCGTAATATGAGTTTTCTTTCTTGAAATGCATGCCTCGGGCATTATCCGTTGCACATATATGTCGAAAGCGCTCTGTAAAATTTCGGAACCTTGACTTCTATAAATACCTGTTAACAGATTTATTTTATCAACATACGGATAGTACTAGACTAGCTCCCTTAAGGCACATACATGTTGGAAAGTTAAGTGAGAGAAGAAGAAGGCACGGTTTCTTCAGGACATGTAGTGGACGCATAGCTATTCTGCATTCGCAATGTGAATTGGAGATCCAGATGTCAGAAAGATGCGATTCCACAATCACGGAAGGAAACACAGATAAATTACGTTTTTTTGGTACCGTACCAAAGTTGATTTATATATGTGCCAACAGTTATGGTATCATTAGCAGCGAGGGCTATACAATAAGACGAGTTGCCTTTGCCGTACGCTACCTAGAACAAGGAAATTAGGTGTTGATCATCAGTGTTCAATACACTGGCAAGGTAAGGTCTGATAGTGATCACTTTGCAAAACTCACGGCAGTTACGGATACAGAGCGCTTATTAGACATACGTTTATCAGTTTAGCATATCCATGCACATAGTAATACATGCTAAGCTGTACCGTGTAAAGATCAATCATCCTCATTCAGAGAATGCTGGAAGATATGGCTAAGGGATGTAGGTCCATGTTTCAACGACAAACTGCAATCAGCAGTTCGAAAGCTTTCAGCTTTTCGCGTATCCAAGTGTAAATAACTGAATAGGGTGACTTTTTCCAAATTAATTGCATTTACAAATCCTATGTTATTAAAAAAAAAAGTACGGTTGGTGTAAAAGCTATGATAGGACTAGTCTCCTTATATTTGCTCGAAATATTCGCATAGTAAGTTCGTTTTTCCGAATCATTGCCCACTTGGGCACAGTTTCTTAACATAAATTGGTGATCTTTTCTTTTGAATTGGAAATTCACTATTCGGAAATTCCATAATGCTCCTCTTAAGGATTCATTTCTGATTTCATAGTACGTTCTTCAGACAGTCCTGTAACAGCTCAAACCGCGATTTCCGTTCGACGGGACTTATGAAGCTTCTTAATGTATTTGCTAATACAATATGTCTTATACAACAACTTACAGCCTAGGAAAACTGACTTACAATGCTAAGTACTTCCCAGTAGGTGGTTTCAACATAGAACACGACTCTAATAACCGAATACTCTGATTTGTGTTTCCAAAATGCTTAATTGTCCATGCTCGCGTATTTTGATTATCTTTCAGGCTGAGCTCCCCCAGATAAAAAAAATTATAAGATAAGGTAAAGCTATCGTAGAGGAATAATGTTATTTTTTAGAATGTTATCAATGACAGGAAAATTATTTGTATTCCGTATCAACCTAATATAGAGAGATTGTATGAGAGGAACAAGCTTAGCAAACGTAAAAATAAGAAAATTAAATGTTCGTCCTCTTAATGGAGATTGTTCCTCAAAGTAAGCTAATTCAGGTTTATGAAATCTATGTCTATAGTCGTGATAATAAAAATGGCGTTCATGATTCGGTTGAAACCAGGGTTTATAAAAGTGAGGGGAGACGAATCCCCCCATAATATCCACCCAGATCATCTGTCGTAGTTGGGTCTGGAAGATTAAAAAAAATAATACATTTCTGCATAGCTCGTTGCACGCGTCAGTATATTGTTTAAGGCAAAGCTAAGATAAAGGAAAACTACTCTGCAAAAGAGCAGTTTTATTTGAGTTAACCCTTCGGCTAGGCAGACATATTTTGTTAGCTGCAATCGTAATCTATACATTGAGTAGGCTCCTGTTAGCCTACATTCAGTTCAATCGCACGCGTTTTGTGGTATTCAAATTGCTAATAACATTACACTTAATATTTTATGCTCGGCGCGGTTTGATGTACCCGTACTTTATTAGCAACTACTGAGCAAACGCTGAAATTTTTTTTATAAGCAATGGAGAAACTTGTTAGGAGTTGTATTTTATCATAAATGTCAATAAGAAATTTGGAAATTTCTTTTAAAATATACATAGTCCGAAATACTCACAAGGGCACGTACAGATACGAAATGAAGAACGAAGTGAACTGGATAAAAGCGAACCTCAAGTCCTCCCAAAGATCGTAGTCATTTGGAATCCTTTACCAGTTTAGAGCAATTTGCGACACAGCTATTATACAATCCACATTCAGCAGGAAAAGTGCTAATGTAAGTGTTGCCAATGGTCCTCTAATGGTTAAGATGCTGAGATCGTAGCTGTTGCGTGAAGCACTCGCATTGTTTTGTGTAAGCGTAACGAAATGGGAACGAATTGCTGTCAGTCGGTGTTTAGAGCTCAAAAGTATACGGACTTGCAAATGAGATGGCTGGCTATCGAAAAAAACTTAGATATCGTTTTGAAGGGTCGGGCGTGATCGAGGTAAAGCTTTGATGAATTCGCAACAGAGGAAGAAAAAGAAAGGTTGGAGAAGTCTAACGGGTGAGTCCCAAATATTTGATGGGATTTTGACTCTATCCGTCTTCACCAACCATCTTTCAGTTCTTTCAAACAGTCACAAAACCTTCTTCTCTTGACAAGCCAAAATTCGTCATGTCCGCCGGGTGAAGTGGAGGGATAAATCATATTGATTAAGAAAACTGAAAACAGAGCATCGAATCAAGAATCGCAGAAAAGTTGTAAAAAAGACATGACGAGAACAGAGTTGACGTGGTGTTGAAATAATGAGACTTTTTGTGCCTACTGATTGAGTCCGTGTGAAGTAGCTTTAAGTATGGTTAAATTCCAAAGAAACCGGCTGTCTACCAATAAGGATAGCCATACTGTGGCGTCGGAAGCACTGTTGCTCCTTAGAATATATTAATACTCCCTGAACAACTAATCTTGTCATATATCCGGTTCAATTATTGGCATACGCATGTAGTATAGTGTTGCTAGTTGTATTGTATTGCTTGCGGCAAACTGGCTGTTGACAATGGTGCAACACGCTACGCATAAGCGTGATGCATTTTGTCTTTATATTGCGCGATATTCGGCAGGAGAGTCTTGACTTTCGCCATTCAGTGCCAGCAGACTTCACCCTGAGTTTTAGAGAGAATTTGTTGAAAACAATATCAGCGTAGTGTTCGTGCCCTAGCTTGCCATTATATGTTGTAACAGATACATTCACAGTTGAATACAATCAGTGCATTTCACAGATCTTGGCGGAAAGTTAAATTTAAATTATAACATACTGTTATTAATACTAATGCGATTTTACACATGTTGTGCTGCATAAACTGATCTCTAAATTGTTTATTTGGAAAATTCTAAATTTGGACACTGAGTTAAAGCCATATTTTTGATCACGAAAAGATTAACTATGTCGTAGCTTATCGGTAAAAGAATCCATTTTTTGAACAAAATGTTTAAATCTTGCAAGCCATTAAAGAGTTCTCAAAGGTTATTCCATATATTGTTATATTCACTTCACTAGTAATCCTATAACCTCAGTTAGTTCTTTTTACTTTAGTAGTCATCTATATTCTCTAATCAATAACTCATAAGCCGCATCTTTGAATAGCAGCCCTCTAAAACATTTTCATTACTTGGAACTCAATGAGGCCATATCAACAACTTCCCTTCGAGTGGATAAACAGCGTTATAATGTTTTCGAGGGCCCTATGCGAAAAATGTTTCTAGATTGGATTATAAAATCCTTTTGACAAAGGTGCATTTTTTATGTGGAGAAAAGTCAGAAATGTTATTAAAAACCTTTTTTAAATAATTGTATATGTTCTATTTGGAGATTGTGTTAAGAAACGCATGCTTTACGTTTTTGATGACTATAGACTTTTCCTTATGAATGTGTAGTGGCTGAAATGCGCGTAATAGAGCTTTTAGAGATTGGAAACTCCACGGGGTCAATTGGTAACCGAAAGAGTGGGACAGCTTTCCTTGTCTAGTCTAGTAATAATTACTCTTAAACGATAAGTGTTTCGTTACTGAAATCATGCACCAGTAGGCTACAAGAATTTAGAGCTTTAATAGAGGCTAACTGCTCCCTGAGGAATAAGGGAAGGTTAACAGAGGGTATTTAAAACACGTTTTATCCTATCTCGCTATTTTATACTGCTACCCTTTCACGCACTATTCGACCAAGCATGACGGTTTAGCAACAGCCTGTGTAGCTGTTGTGAAGTAAAGATACCGTCCGATTCGGTATCGCAATGGCACCGCGAGCGTGACTAGTTCTGATAGGTGGTCGTGTCAGCAAGGATCAAGCAAACTGTGCGCTTTAGGTTTTATTTTGTACCTGAACATTACGAATTTCTCTTCGAGCGTAGGTTTCAGCTTGCAGCCATTCTCCCTTCCACTAGGGGAACGGGAATAGGAGAGGGTATAGCCACTTGCAGGCCTATCTTGGGGTTTGCAAAAGGCCAAAAGTGGGGCTAAAGGGCGAAGGACAACGACAACAAGGGGGCGCGAGGGAAGGCAGCTATAAAGCGAGCAGCATCCGCTTCCCTTGTCTTCTCGCGCAGACAGCGAGGTACAGTGGTTCCCCACTGGCTTGTTGTTCTGCTTGTCAACGTGCGTCTCCTATATTTAACCTTCTTCTGCCGAATTTTTTCGCACCATGTTTTGGCCATTTTTAACTATTGTTATTAATCCTTTTTGTTAATAGTGATCATGGTGCTGCGTCGTTCTGACAAAAAGACGATTCACACAAAAATATGACGGAATGAACCAAGTTGTACTGTCTACTTCATGGAAGTGTTCCATATAAGCTCAAGCTCACTTGTGTAGTGGTTATTTTATTGCAATGCGTAACTGCTGGCGTTAATTACTTTTAGCAAGAACATTTGAATAAAAGTGGTACCTAGAGGTGCTGTCCAATTATGTACAACAACATTTATAATCGTAATTGTTGGTCTAAGTTGTACTTCCAGTAGTCACTCCCTAAGGAACGAACTTGCCTCAAACTTAGGAAGTGCAAGTACAGGTTAAATTATCATTTTGAAATGACTATCAATTGTACTAGTCATTCGCTTAAACGATTTACTTCTTTGTAATGATTTCTATGCATTGTGAAAGTAAACATAAATAAAATTAATAATATTGAAACTGCGTAAACAGAAGGCGGAAAGTAATCCTCTAGGCTCTCTTATTGTTTTTAATTTTTACCTTTGTTTCTGCATACATTTTCTTTATTCCTTTGGTCGCTCATTTAATTTTCTTTCAAGAAATCGTTGCTTGGGCGTCTCTAGGAGCTTGTAAAACAATGCCTCACGACTCGATGGCTTCAACAGAACCGCACGGAACACGTTGTCTTACCAAAAGTGACGATCACCTAAGACGGAAGACCGAAACTTTTTCGCTAGAAAAGAACCAAGACGATTCCAATTTAGTTTTTGTTCCAGCAGTTGGGATAGAAAATAGGTAATGGAGCAAGGATCCAATGAGAATTTAATGAAATCCTTTATTCAAGAATCAGTGACCTATTACGAGGTCAGTGGTGCTCTTTTCGATACGAAATGTTTGTGGCCTATCTTAGATATAAACAGAAATGAGGCCTAAAAATAAGAAGACATTACTATGTGTATTCATAAATTTAGTTGTTATGGCGGTCAAGATACTTGTCTGTATACTTTTTACTAACAGATTCATAGACCTCTGCGATTTACGAGCACAAAAACTAAAACTCTTACTACTGATGAGTCTTCAAACCGTACGACGAACTTGATATGCCATAGGCTTTTCATACTTCTACTATGCTTTTAACTTCCAGTAAAGGTTTGGTCTTATTAACCTTTTTAATAGTATTCATCAAATAGTCTAGTTGGTAAATTAGAGTTTCAAAACCTGCTTTCTTAAGACGTATGCAGGTTTCAAAGCTAAAGCATTAACCGTCTTAGTTAGTGTAAAATACATGGTGAAAAATTTAACAACAATTTCTCAAAAATCACATTGGCTGAGTCATAATAACTGGATGTATGGCTGCGTCGGATACCCTCTGACCAGAGATTAATTGTCTGGTCGATATTTATAAAAAATTATATTGACAAACAGATCGGGTCTTTATTTTAGTAGTATGAAGCAACCAACATTTCTGTAACAAAGTCATAGCGGTACAGTCACTGGTATACCATAGCATATAATCTAAATGTGATGTTTAGTGTCCCCGTTGTAACTCCTTTTTGCTTTGACCTGTTTTCGCCCATATCCGGTTGTTTTCGTAGGTGGGCATTGTTCTGGTCGTAACACAACGGACAACGGCGACGCACCGATCGTAAGCAGGATAGCCGTTAGTCCGATATTACTGATGCGGCTGTTCTTGATTAGGCACTTCTCGTTCCTTAGATATGCGAACAATTTTTCGTTATCTGGCTCTTTGAAGACCTATCTGAGTTGGATAGGTGTTACTGTTTAGAGCCAGTCTTTCTGTCACTGCTAAAGTCTCTGTTTCTTCGAATCCCTTTTTGTGTTGTTGTTTATGTTCGTAAACAGCTGTGGCGAGGGTACCTTTGTGTCTTTCCCCTTTCTTGACATAGATTTGTTGCGGGTTGACACTGTTGGTGTAGGCTCAGCGGGAAGGATCGGTTCAATAAAGGGCTGGTTTCAGGAGAGTTCGGGGTGGTTTGATACCATCAAAATAGTGATACGCCTACTAAAATACCTATCCTATTGTGACAGTAGCATTCACTTACTTTTGTACTCCTCAAATAGTATCAGCGAAAACAGCAGATCCCCAATGGTCCCTTAACTCTCCGAGGACACTTTTTCCGATAGAGCGGCAGCCAAACGCCCTACTTCATGCTTCTCTTTGTGGTCAGCAATCCTAGTTTCCTGAATTACAGCCTGGGAAATAGCACTGCCATCGTTGTGTCTTAAGGAAAACGAGGTTAAACTCTTGAGACGGTAGCGGAACAACCGCTAAAGAGCAGACAACAAAAACTAGTAATACAGTAGCAGGGACGCTCGAAAATAATACCTGCGATAAAATTTATGGAGACGAAGGATAGGGTAGCAGTGATGTAGCCCATCGTACATGCATGACATTTTTCCTAACTTCTGTATTTGTTCCTGCAGGAATCGGTGTCCCGTGGTTTGCTTTAAATAATCGTCTCACAACAGCAGTATTTCGTTAAAAATCACTGCCAGTGATGGGGTAGTATCTTTGGAATTTACGTGAAGGAGATTTAAAAAAAACTCGAAACACTGATCGATGAAAGGAAAGTTTACTATTAATAATGATTGAATATCTTCAAATTTAGTGTGCGTCAATTTTACGAACACGCCTTGAGATAGGAATATACGCTATCGTAGACCTTCTGATATATTATTATATATTACACCCAACTGCAACCACCCAGCTCCGATTCGGAAAGTTTATTTGGATTGGATTTTACATTTACGCTTGAGAATAACTAATGACCACAGCATAAAATCTGATACCGTAAAAGGAGCTTTCACAGCGTTTTCATATACGTACAAGTAATACTAAAAACTATTTTTATTGTTGTCTTTAATGTCATCTTATTAAAAAATTGGGAGAATCAAGAATGACAAGCCTTGTTTGCAACTTAATATGTGCTTGTTGAGTAAAGGGGGAATTTGAATTTGGGAATAATAATTAAATGAACAAAAAGTATAGTAGATAAAAAAGTAAGATCAACAGAACAAGTAAATAAATTATGGATGAGCTTGATGATTTTTCCATAAAACCTTACCGCCCCGTTGCACGTGGGAGCAATGGGGAAGGTTAGTACAACTACAGCTAAGTATTTTTCTGGTATAGTTTTCCCACTCATTTATTCGCCATTTTCGTTCCAACGCGTCCTTTTCGTCTTGGTAAATTTAAAATGATTAGAGTTGGACAAAAGTAACCGAAATACATTTGTTGTTCGTCCGTACCTGTTGTGACCTGCCACCCCGGTTGAACTTCTAACCGCTCGCCATTGATAGATATTTTTTAGTTCACTTACCACGAAACTGTTGTATATTACTCTGCTCATTTTCTATATGTGTTCACCATTTTTTTTAAACGAAGCGTTACGCCATTTCCCCTTATCTCATGCCCATTCTCTCGGTAGTGGTAGCTGAGCCACTAAAATCATCTCAATGCCGAACAATGTGTAACAGCTTCTTCCAAATACTCGTTGTGCCCTTCATTCTGATGGCGAAAACGTACTCCTCCACAGAGCCGACTATCCCTCGCACTCCGAGGACGTTCCTCGCTTCTGAGATGACCGGCGCCCGACTGGCGGCCGCCAGCTCAGCCATACTTCAATGGCTGGCTGTTCATCCCGAACAGTCGGCGACTGGTGGTGAGTTTGCTACGACGAGTGTGTAGAATCTGTGGGAAGTTGGTGCAATATTCCAAACAAACCCGAGAGCTATCTTTCGCATATGCAGTGGGACTTTCAGTGTGCTCCAAACTAGGCCCGACCTAGGTCTCCCTTGATGGCTTTCATGAGAAAATCCGTCGAATGTATGTATCTAGAGATAGCGGTCAAGGAGCATATTGACTTTAATGTATTTAGTAACAAATAATTTGAATTTAAATCGATATTTAAATTATTACTTATGACACCGTGTTAGTACTAACACCAAGTTAATATATTTGCCCGAAGTTGGTATGTCTTTCTTTCTTGAGGCAATGCCACTTCCTATTCTGTGACTTTTGTCTTCTTGCATCTTCTTTCCAGTTTGATATATGTCTATATTGAATTGTGAAAGCTCCCAAAAAGATGTAGCTAAGGAACAAGTAAATAGAATATAACATCAATGAGGAAGCATCGGTGTCATTAGCTAGCAGCATTAATTAGCGTTCTTGTTTATGCCCGTTTTTTTATTGTATCGCTACGTCCTAGTTCCATTTGTCTTCAGTCATAGAGGTCAACATTGCTGTCTACGTTGATAGCTTGGGACCGCAATAGATTTCATTAAGGTAAATTCGCACACTTCTCGCTTGCGACTTCTGTACTGTTTACTAAGCTCTCAGTGACCACAGGTGGCTCGGGACAAGTTGTCCTTGCATAAAAGAAAGGAGTCTGAAGACGATATGCATACTTCCATTTTGGTGTGTATCAACCATTAATGTGCCTATTCAATAGCAGATACCAAAACTCGTTTTCTATTGAATGCGCAACGGAACTCAACTGGTCTTGTAATTATTTAAAGCCCTAGATATATTAGGGCAACTTATAGAGAGCTAACGAAGAAAACTTTTCTTTTATCTAATAGAAACAAACCTAGAACTTGGAGATTGTAAAACAATGCCGATTCGATAGAGCTTGCTGAACAATCAGTCATCATCGATGTGAAACAAGGTAGTGATAAAAGTGGACTCAAATATTGTTTTCCTGCTGAACCATCGGCTCGTTTGTTTGGGTGACGCCTAAACAGAAGATCACGAAATTATTAATATGGTACTATGACGGCGACATCCGACAAGGCTTACATTGTGTTGCCTTTCACTTACAAACAACGTGAATTATTAGAGTCGGTATTATGTAGCCGCAGCTGAAGAGTAAGCCATAATGTATTTTATTTCTATTAAATGAGTCCGTTACGGTACGCTTCTTAATACCATTTTCATGTAGCGTACTCTTAAGCAAATAGTACGTTTGTAGTTATTGCTAAAATGGTCAACAACATACACATTTCATTATATATATGACATATTACTGCCATATTGTTGAAGAAATGTGCACTGAAACTCTCGTTTCATGTTGTTTCTCTGTTCTAATCACTAGGGCAAATTTCATATTGGTATGTTTTGCTTCCACCAGTGTTTTTTCTATCTATTTAGTAGGCACTGAGCGGTTTTTTAATGGAAGCTGAAAGTCGTAAGTAATAAGTTGTAGGTATAGCATCTCAAAGGTTAGCAAACACTAAATATATACGCAGAACAAAGTAGCCCTTGTTAATATAATCTTTTCTACTATAGCCAACTAGCTTCTGATCTCAATAACCGCCTCCATCCTGTCTTTAAACAATGCCAGTATAACCTGGCTCAGGAAAGGACGAGGTATCATACAACCACGATGTATAGGAAATGCGTTCGTCTCTTTTAGAATACGATTATTTTCAGTAGCTTTTATCTTATTACCCTTTCGGATCAATGAGATGAAGTATCCAGACTATTTTTTCACATCTAGTAATGATAAAAATCTGCTACCTTATTGAAGTGTTCCTATTTGTGTAGAATTGGGGGTTATAAGTAGATCCGAAATTGTACATCATCAATGTGCGAATTGGTTTGTTTGACTATTATTACCTAGAATTTTCCAATCGATATCTCTAATTGATCAAAGCATCACATGTGACCATTATATGTGAAAACTCCGAGTAATGCGTATCAACATACATTGTTATCTTTGTGTTTAAAAATATTTCGAGTTTTATCATATTGACAGGTTTATTTTATTATATAACTTTGCTAATATTCGAAAATGCCTAAACTTGATATTACACGACACTGCAAAGATGCAAATGCGTACCCGTACAACCTCATAAAGGTAGATTATTGTAATGAATCACTTATTTTCACATAATTATTTCATAATAACCTCATCTTTACGTAGTTTTAGGGGATACCATCAATTAAAATGTGGCATTATTTAGATATTATTTATGTTTATATATTTGTATTTATTAATTGAAAGAAGTTTCTGTAAAAGAGGGGAATTACCACTCATAGTAGTTCATAGTTCACATCAACAGTGCTTAAAATTTGTGAATTAAATCATGTTACGTAATCCGTAACGAAGTCAAATTAAAGGCTACGCGCGTTTATCTTAAGGATTTAAGGACATAAGAGGTATGGTGCTGTCGTTATTGGTGTTCATCAATCCACTTGAGTACTGTCAAATGGCAGTGGCTGTACGTATCGAGTTGGTCATTATTACCGTATGGAGAGGATATCTTTTGGTATTTTCAATGTTTTTCTCTTCTTCGAACTGGACTCTTCGTTCTGGACGTTCGCATTTCTGCGACAATAATTGCTTTAGTATAGACTTGTTGCGAAGTAACAGAAGACAGTAGGTGTAAGGGGTGGAACTCGGCTTATAGAGCGCTGAGAGGAAGACAGATGCGTAAAGGGATCGTCATGGGGTGTTGATATATCAATACCGTTTTCAGAGCATCCTCTCTTGAGACTTCTGAAAGCCGCAGAAAGCTAGTAAGAACAGGCTTTTATTTGATGCCGAGAACAGCGGATGAATGCATGTCCTTTACAAGAAATAACTCGCTGAGGTGTGTTCTATAAAGTGCTATAAGCCGCAATTGAGCGGCTGAAGTATAGTTTATTTCCACAATGAAGTGGTTGAACTGGCTCAGTGTATCAAAATAAATAGCATTCGTTAGAACATTAAACTATAAAAATGGTTATGTAGCCGATCTTTATATAAGATGACTCTTTGAACACCGTTAATTGATAATGTTTGTCACTTGAACGGTTGTACTAACAAATCGAATCATCGCAATTTGGCTTTATTCAGTTAGATAAAATGCCCGCCTAAATACCTCGAACAAGTGTCAATCTGTTGCAACGCTAACTTTC